GCCTGGTGGGTTCGTCGTCGCACAAGAGGGGCTCCTCCTGTTGACTGGGCTGCATGATCTGGCACGGCTCACAGGCACGGACCGTATTGACGATATCCGCGTCAATGCCGGGCCAGTACACAGCCTGCCTTGCGCGGCACTTGGTGGCCTCTGCTCCACGATGGCTGTCGTGTAAACGGGCCAGAACGCGATGACAGAGAGCTGCAGGGACGACCACACGGGCACCGTACAGGACGAGGTCCCCATCTGCGTAGAGGTCCTCACATATCTTCCAATACGGGCGTAGGGCGTTGTGGAGGTCAAAACGGTCGCGAGGGAACCCAGTCCTCACACTCTCCAAGAGCTGAGTGTAGGAGGGGTTGTCGCGTGCCGCGGTCCGTAGTTCCTCAAGGGCCAGATCTCTGTCGGGTGGCGACACTGAGGCCTGAGTGCTGGCGAGGGACTGTACAGCCTGCAAGGTGACGATGTTGCTGACGGAGAAACCGGCCTCGGTGCTGAGCATCTCGTCTTCAGGTGTAGGGCGGCTGACTGGGGAGCGGGAGAGGGCATCCGGTATGCACAACTCCTTACCTGCGCGCCAAGCTGCGGTGAAGACGAAGGCCAAAATCTTCTCCTTCAGGCGCTGGAGGCGGGAATTCTCGATGGCGTCCAGCGAATAGTGATTAAGAATGGGGACTAAGGGCCTGTGGTCTGTGATGAGGTCGAAGTGCTGTAGGCCAATCAAGTAAAATTTGCACTTCGATAAGGCACATACCACTGCCAGCAGCTCCAGCTCGATGGTAGCGTAGCGAGACTCAGCATCGGTGAAGAAGCGAGAGCCACACTGTACGAGCCGGTACTTTCCTCCACCGTGATCCTGGAGAAGGGCGTAACCAACCCCGTACAGGCGCGAGGCGTCTGTCTGGAGGACGGTGGGGAGCGCTGGGTCGAAAGTAGCGAGGATAGGTGGACTTGACAGGGCCTCCTTCACCTTATGAAAGGCGAGGTCGTGGTCAGGGGTCCACGTGAAAGTCCTCTTGGGGCTCATCAGGGGGCGGAGAGGCCCGGCAGCGGTGGAGACGTCAGGAGAAAATTCTGCAAGCTGGTTCACCAGGCCCATGAAAGACCTGAGATCCGTAAGGTTGGCAGGCTTTGCAAAGTTCGCTATGGCGCGAACTTTCTCCGGGTCCGCAGCAATGCCATCCCTTGAGAGTCGGTAGCCGCAGAAAGACACTGCAGGTGCGGCCAAGACAAACTTCTCGGCATTCAGAGTGATGCCGTGCGTCCTACACCTGGTCAGTACCTCGTCGATGCGGCGAAGATGCGTCAGGTAGTCCTCATCGTAGAGGAGGACGTCATCCACTACCTTCACGCAGTTGGTCACGCCTTGAAGTGCCATGTCACCACGGAGACAGAAGGCATCCCCCGTAGCAGCGAATCCGATAGGGCCACGGCAGTTGCGGAAGCATCCGTAAGGCGTGATGAAAGTGGTCAGTGGCTGATCCTCCTTCTTCAGTGGGATCTGCCAGTAACCACAGAGGGCGTCCATTGTCGAGAAGTGCCGTACCTTCGGATCCACACTCCGTATAGCTGCAAAAGGTGTGGGTGAAGGGTGGGCGGGACGGGACACCTGGCTGTTAAGCTTAGACAAGTCGGTAGTAATCCGCACCCCACCGTTAGTCTTAGCCACAGCGACTAGAGGGTGGCACCAAGGGGACGGGTCATCACCAACGGGTACGATGACACCCTGGGCCACCATGCAATCCAGTTCCTTCTTGACTGAATCCCTGAAGGCGAGAAGAATCAACCGGGGAGTGTGTATGGCAAACGGCTGTGCATCTTCCCACAGTGTATCCTCATAGGCGGACCCGCCATAGCCTTCAGTGGCGCGGTCCGTAGGGCCTCCTTCGTCACCAGCACATCCGAGTACTCCTTCAGGAAGTAGGCCCTTGCGGCTGAAGGAGACGTCTCGCTGTGAAGAGGAAGCAGCTGTGACTTGGGTGGAGGCGGGGCGGGAGTGGACGCGAGTTCTGGGCAGCTCTGTGCGGCAGCGCCAGGCACATCGCTCGTTGATTCATGCACCCTGCTGGCGGTGTACCGAGCAGCTGGGATCTGCTCGGGAAAGTCTCTGGGCACCACGCCTAACTCCTTGCAGTGCTCCCACGACAACAAGGGTGTAGCGAGAGTAGGCTGCACGTCGATCCATCCATGACACGACCTGTCGCCGTAGGTGATCTCGGCTTGAAAGGAGCCCACAGCGTCCGGCATCTGGGAACCGTCCGCATTGTAGTACTGCAGCTGCGGCGGTGGTCCCAGGCCGCGTTTGGTGAGGCCCAGTTTCTGGAGGTGCTTCAGGCCTATCACCGTAGTATCAGCGCCGGTGTCCGGTATCATCTCGATGTGACCCGACACATCACCGTGTGTGACGGCAACGCGGATGGTAGGGGAAGGGGTAGCCCTGGGGCGGTGTGGTCGAGTCCACCCTTCTGATGTGACTCAGCTGCTGCTAGGGGCTGCGTGGGCCATCTGAAGGGGGCTGCGTGCGAACCACCCCGAGGGAAGTGCGCTGCTTTCCTCCTCGTCTCGGGCTTTTGGGCTTGGGTTGGCGGCAGCACTTGTCGTAGTGTCCATAGCGACCGCAGGCCTGACACTTGTGGCCTCGTGCAGGGCACCTGTCTGTGTTAGACCAGTGGCCCTTACGGTCACATCCACGACACAGTGCGTCGGCGGCCAGGCATGTCTTGGGGCCATGCTGCTTTCCACAGTTGCCACAGGAAGCACTAGGTGGGGGCGTGGAAGAACGTGCGGCAGCCTTCACGTTGTTGGCCGCCTTCTTACCCTTCTTGTATTGTGAGATAGCTCTCACAGCAGGTGGGGCCCGTAAGGCAGAGGTGGCGGACTTGGTGGCCTCGTATGACCGACATTCAGTCACTACCACCTGGAGTGTGGAGGAAGCGTCCAGGGGAATGAGTCGCTGCACCAACTCTTCTTGCCTGACACCTGTCAAGATCCCGTGCTTGATCCAGGCTTCCTCACATTCCCGGCTGTGCGCCTTGCAGACGTCGATCTCCTCTGACAAACTCTTCAAACCTACAAAAAAGTCGTCAAAGGATTCATTCTCTGCCTGCTTGCAGCTGGTGAAGGCGCGGCGACGCAAGGCCTCGTTATTCCGACCTTTAACGTGCTCCTGTAAAAGGTCGAGCAAATCTGTCACTGAAGATGTAGAATCGGGAGGCACTTACAACGTGTGCTCCAAAACTCTCTGGGTCTCCAGCGACAAACACATCCGCAGTTGGATGAGCTGTTTGTTTGGAGGCATGCTGTCAAAGTCCACCATCGTGGAGTAATCTGTCCACCGCCGCCTCCACTCATGAAAAAGCTGAAATGTGATGTCTGGTGAGAGGGCGGGTGGGGGTTGAACAGATGCCTTGGGAGCTGTTGGAGTAGCAAGAGTGCCTGGAGGACGCTGGTGTGGTAGGGGAGGGAGGATATTGGCGCCTTGGTGCGCGAAACCTGCGAGTGAGGGAGGGTGGGTTAGCGCCAGGGTCGCCAATAGTGCATCAAAACGCGACTTTTCCTCCTCTCTTCGTGTCTCCTCCCTCTGAAGTTCCATCTCTCTGCGTCTCTGGTCCCTGTGATCCATCCACCTCAGAATTGTGGCAATGTCCGTCGCTGTAGGTGAAGGATGAGGGGCGGTGGGCGCAGAAGCTCCATCTGTGCCCGGTAGAGGAGAAGGTGGTGGGGAGTCATGTCTCCCATCTTGACGTTGTCCCTTCTTACCGCCCATCTTAGTATGCTTGAACTGCGCTATTTAGTATATAAAGTGGCGCCTCATCAGCTCGAACCACATATATATGACATAAACAGCACAGAAATAATGCATAGAGTCCACTGTTCTGTGCGTGCGTGTGTGTGTGTGTCTCAGAGAGCAGAGCGTGGGTGGCTCACGGAGGCAAGACCGTCGGTGTCTCCCCGGATGTCACACGAGAAGGGTGTACGCCTGCGTGCTCCGTGGGTACCACAAAAAAGAGGCCAATGCTCAACTCTCAGCTCTAGACACACTAATACACTGACACTAACACTGCCACCGTCACTAGAACGCACTGTGACGGCGCAACACTGCACGTCGTGGCGAAACACAACACAACACACGAGGAGTTGACGCGCACATCTCGCCGGCAGTCGCACATCGCCGGCTAACTGTCCATTGTTTACACACTTGTAAGTCCACTGATCCTACTCACTGCGCCATGAAGGTTCCAAGTGTTCCCTGAAGAATGCAGTGATGGGTAGGGAAACACCGGGCAACACTGAAGTCCATTTATTAACGGATAGGAGAAATACAAGTGGTGACTAGCGTGTGCCATGCACGGCCCACAGAGTCAGACTGAGACTGCCTTGCCATATGGCAGCCTCAGGGCAATGTTGCCACATAACACGTGCAGTGTTGCCACGTAATTACATATATAAATGGTACTCGGCACAGTAGCTTATTTACAAGGTTACTACTCGGCACAGTAGCATAGATACATAACCTACAGTAGTTGCTGATTGATTGAGTGGTAATCACATCCCTGGAGATGCAACAGTTTAGGTCATATGCTGCCAAAATGCAATAATGGCTTATAGGACTAAAATCAAATGGTTCACGAGAATAACCCACCTCTATGTGAACACTCATGTTATAGACAACATTAAGCCATGACAATGAGACATAAAAGATCTCAAGAATTCTACCACCATTATGACGACTCCAGATGTAGCACGTGTTTATAAGTCATATGGGCCCTAGTCATAGTATTTCATAGTCTAACCTGATTATTTGATTTGGGACTTATTTAGACTGGGGCCCTGTTGATTCATCACCATGTAACTCTACTGTACTGCTCCTGTTATTTTCCCCTTTTTCTGATCTTGTTGTTTTCCTTTTTTGAGGCTCGGTACATCCTAAGTTTCTTATTTTTTATTAGTACAGTATTTTTGTATTTTGTAGTAATGACGTTATGGTGAAGGGGTCAGTGTTTCTAATATGTGTTGTTTGTATTACAGGTGTGAGGACGTGTAATAAAGATCGGCTGCGCGAGGTCAACAAGTGAAGGATGATGACGGTAAAGGGCGGCGGAGGTGTATAACAGGTTCTGCTGGTGAAGTGAGAGGCAGCTTGTGTGTTTAGTGGCATGTGTGGTGGTAATGACGTTATGGGAGACCCAGCAACTGTGGTGGTGATCACTGGTGGTGCCCTGTGTTGGTGCAGCAAGTGAGGAGCTGCTGTTTCACCCCATGCAATATACCTCCTCCACTCAATCATTTATTTACCACTCTTAAAGCCACGAAGATTGAGATTAAATCTTTAAGATAATACTAATTCGTCACATCACTTCAGCAACTGGAGGAAGACGCAGCGAAATACACATTTGTAAGGAGTGATTGTTGTCCGCAGTTGCTGCGTGAGATATTTCACGTTGGAAGTCCCAAAGAATTCTAAAGGAAACCCCTCAGCAAGACTGTGGATCAGTCCAGCTAAGAAAGTAAGAAAAAGGGGTGTCAGGTTAGAGAAGAAAGAGCACGAGAGTGTTTCAGCACCTTCTCAGAAGGCACTTAGGTTTTTGGTTGATTGGCTGAGTAAGATCAGCGTGGTGGAGGTAAGCAAGATTGGCGAGGCGAGGAGCTCCCTGCCAGACGTCCCTATGCCGCTCCTGAGCCCCCGGCCAAGTCCCAAGATGGCCACGCCCAGCAACTCGAACCTCTTCTACACAGTGGAGGTGGGCGACACGCGCTTCACTATCCTCAGGCGCTACACCAACCTTAAACCCATAGGTTCTGGTGCTCAGGGAATCGTCTGGTCAGTACCACACCTCTTTTCATTATAATTAAAAAAAGTGAGTTTAAAAGTAAATCAATTAATAAAATAAAAAGAATGTTGCATTAAGATTTACATTCATCATCTGCAGCAGACTGAGTATAATGCCAAAAATTGTACATTTATAAGATTTAAACAAATAAAACTTGCCAAGATCCTGCAATATAATTGTTGGTTTCTGAGTAAAAATATATTTCCCATACAATGTCATACAATGTCACACTTGTGTATGTCATGTTTTAAGTACATATCAGTGAAAGCTTCACATTCATAGCATGTTTTCATTATTCCCAGCCAAGTTAAGTTGATTATTATTTGTCATGTGGGTGAGTGATGGGTGGAAGGAGGTGAGAGTCACAGATGTTTGCATTACAGCGCGGCGTATGACTCCGTCACACAACAGAATGTGGCAATCAAGAAATTGTCGCGGCCCTTCCAGAATGTCACACATGCTAAGCGCGCCTACAGGGAGTTCAAACTCATGAAGCTCGTCAATCATAAGAATGTGAGTATTAAAACTCCTTGTGTTATAAACTGACATACTGTACCAAGTCATTACAGTACAGTATTAAGTGGCCCACAAATAGATAACTCTGTTTTGGAAGCTGACCCATCTGCTGTTATAGTTACCCTGTACTTGCAACAGTATCCATCATTTGAAAGTATACAGTTTTAATTTCCATCTAGTAAAAAAATGTCAATTTCTTAATCTTATAAAGCTTTAATAATCTTGACTGTGTTGGCTTAATACCTGCTGAAGGGATGACCTCCAGATTCCCCCACACTTATTGTATATTTCCATTTTCCTTTTTAAAAACTAAGTTAAATGGGTGTGGATGCATTGTTCCCACAACCATCAGGAGTTGGGATGAGGGATTGTTAACTTTGTGTCAGTTTGTACATCAGACAGTAAACCAACACAGCCATATACAAGTACTGTATAAAGACCAAAATCCATAAGAAATTATTACAGTTATGGGTTTATTGCCTTAGAGTTTTGTAATGAATTTGATTTATGATTTGCAACTAAAGGCTGTTACTGTATACTTTTATAATAAGGTAGGCTGTGTAACCGAGCTATGTTGGACATAATTTTGTTTTCACATGGATTTTCCTTTTGTTACAGGTGGTTATGTTGTTTGTTGAATAAAACCTATACAGTACATATCAATGAGATACAGTACTGGCGTCTACCCCAAGTTTTATGTAAATGTTGGTGATGTATGTGTCCAGAAGTTAAGGGCTGGTGCAAATGTGGGTGATGTATGTGTCCAGAAGTTAAGGGCTGGTGTAAATGTTGGTGATGTATGTGTCCAGAAGTTAAGGGCTGGTGTAAATGTGGGTGATGTATGTGTCCAGAAGTTAAGGGCTGGTGTAAATGTGGGTGATGTATGTATCCAGAAGTTAAGGGCTGGTGTAAATGTTGGTGATGTTTAGTAGGTGTCCAGAAGTTAAGGGCTGGTATAAATGTTGGTGATGTATGTGTCCAGAAGTTAAGGGCTGGTGCAAATGTTGGTGATGTACCGGTATGTGTCCAGAAGTTAAGGGCTGGTGTAAATGTTGGTGTCCAGAAATTTAGGGCTACCACTTTCAGTGTAATTTATTTAGGACAGTATTCATGTTTAAACTTTATTTTATCGAAAAATTTGTGAGGTCCAGGAACTCTTATATTTAGGTCACTACTGAGTGATGAATTTACCAACAGAGAATGAACAATTACATCTCTCTCTCTCTTTCACATTACTCTTGTCTTAAAGATCTAAAAAAAATGCCAAGTTTTTCTCGTCATGTACTGTACTTACTAAGCAACTTATGTTCATCATTAGGAAAATATTTATTTGAATTCTAAATATAAAAAGGATTTATATTACCACACTATACACCAATCCTTCCACAACCATGGATTTACCACCGACAGATTCAAACACAGTGTCCATGTTCTATATTTTGTACAGTACTGTACACCATTTTATCAACAATGGTATACTGTAGTTTTAAGTACCTGTACCTGCAGGTTATTACAGCTACTGTGGGAGACTTCTAGCCCAGTGGCATGGCAGTGTTTGCTGGATTTGGACTCTCAAGTAGTTCAACTTGTTTAAATCAGTACTGCATGCTTAATTTCACCATTCATATTAAACACTACTGTACTGTATATGGCAATCTCTTCTCATGGCAGTAGTCGTCACTTAACACTCAGGGTTGGGGAGGCAGCCACACACCCTTCATGGTTCAGATGTATAGCCTCCTTGTGCTCTGAGCAGGGGTGGATCCAGGAATATCAAAAGGGGGATCCAAGAATTTGTGGGTGGGGAAACATAGCGAGCACAGCGAGCCCACCCAGATGGGGGTTTTGGGGAATTTTTTTTTAAATCTGACCAATATCAAGAGCATTTAGAGGCCATGTGCACTTGATATTAGGCAATATTCTGAGGTCAGTAGTAATTACTTCTTACTATACAAAAATGGCTGTATACAATACAACGTACATTAAAGAAAAAGTATTTATATTTTCTTATAAAAAGGAGGGTCCTGTACCCCAGGACTGTCCCTGCTGAGTTACCATCACATAAAAGCCTTTATACTTTTCTTGATAAAATACATTGTAAATAATATGTGATAGCTGTTTGGTATCACATTACAGATTGTTTTAATTAAGTTCTGGAACTCTTAAGTGGCAGGATTTGATGTAAACTCTCTTTGGCATTTTCTGTTTTCTCGCTGAGGCAGTTATATACACTGGTACCTTCTGAGAGAATATATTGTGATTTCTCTCCAGGGAAGTGTTGTGAATAACACTTTGAGATAACACTAGAGTTAAGTGCCCAGCTTCCCTGTCCAGTGGTAATAGTGAACTACCACTCCCTGGGTGTGTGAAAACGAGCTGGTGTTTGCTAAATCAGCTGACCCTGGCTCGACCCTTGAGTGAGATGCAGGCTAAGTGATTTAGTTGTGAATAACTTGGTGAACAACTTGGTGTTATTAATTTGTGTGTATGGTATTTATATAAAGCAAAGGTGCTGGTACAAATGTAGATTTTTTCTTTAGCAAATTAAAAGAAATATTTCCATCTAGAATGTTACTTTTTGTGTAAAATGAATCTGTATTTATTTGAAAATTTGTGACAAATAACAAATTTAATTTTTTGAAGCTTTAAAATTTTTCCAATTCATAAATATTTTTCATTAAATAAATGTATGAGAATATATCAGGTTAAAAAAAAATAACACTGAAATTTTTTTTTTTAAATATAACGTAGACATGTTTTTTTCTTATTAACTCTCTTTTTCGGTCCTCACCAAGGCTCTCAAATGCAAACCTGATGCAACTGATAGTAGTGCACCCAAGAAAAGGAAAACAATTACAGGTTGATAATCCCTTATCCGAACGCCTTGGGACCAGATGCATTTTGGATTTTGGAATTTTTCGGATTTCAGAATGGTTAGGTTTTTTTTTTTGTCAATCTGTACCTGTTTGCTGTGTTAAGAGGCTGGATGCCGCGCATTAAACTAGTCACTTTACCTTCAATTATGTTCAATAATTGTTAAAATGACTAAAAAATTGAATATTAAACTTTTAAAATTATTGAATAGTATAAACTTCTTGATATTTACTAAAATAGTAAGGAATTTAAGCCCTAGAACCGATTAATGTATTGGCGGACTGATAATAAAGCTGGTTGCCCAGTCAGTGCAAGCGAAAACATGTTGAGGTCGGTTCGTAAGAACTTCGTTAACCGAATTATTTTTCGTTAAACGAATTGAAGATCCTTATGGAAGGCAGTTCGTTAATCGAAATTACGTTAACCGAGGTGTTCGTTAAATGAGGGGTCACTGTATATATATATATATATATATATATATATATATATATATATATATATATATATATATATATATATATATATATATATATATATATATATATATATATATATATATATATATATATATATATATATATATATATATATACAGTTAACCCTCACTTTACGCGGTCCCACATTCCGCGTTTCCACGTTTACGCGGTGCCCTGCCGGAACCCAGGATGCTCACATTCCGCGGTGCGTGTACCCCTTTACGCGGAGAGCGGCTGGCGAGCCGCGCCATTTTTGGATCCAAACCTCCCGCCATCCGCCATGTTGTGTAAGCTGCGCGAACATGGTGCGCACAAGGTCGCCCAGTCATCAAAACATTACCAGTTCTTCACCCGCCACCCACCACAGCCGGCCCAAGTCAGTGATAGTGATAATTATGGTGAGGATATGGACTTATATGGACTTTGGGGAGTTTGACAAAGAGGCCCTGCAAGCCTCTGTGGTGGATAGTGATACAATTGATACAAGTGACACAGGTGAGGGCCAATAATCTGCCCTCTGCCTCGGAACCAACCGCCCATCCCCGTGTGCCCAGCCATTTTTTCTACTAATGTAAGTGTTAAAAAACCTAATATTATTGATATTTCTCTTAATTATTAATTGTGTGTGCATACCATCATAAAGTTAAGATAATATTTTTACTACAACATAGTTGTGTGTCGTCAAAAAGTGGAGTTTGGGGATCGGCCCGGACTCCATTTCAATTAATCCCATATGTTATGTTATTCACTTTACGCGGGACCCTCCGGGTTACATTAACCGCGTAAAGTTAGGGTTAACTGTATGTATATATATATATATATATATATATATATATATATATATATATATATATATATATATATATATATATATATATATATATATATATCTATCTATCTATCTATCTATCTATCTATCTATCTATCTATCTATCTATCTATCTATCTATATCTATATCTATCTATCTATCTATCTATCTATCTATCTATCTATCTATCTATCTATCTATCTATCTATCTATCTATCTATCTATCTATCTATCTATCTATCTATCTATCTATCTATCTATCTATCTATCTATCTATCTATCTATCTATCTATCTATATATATATATATATATATATATATATATATATATATATATATATATATATATATATATATATATATATATATATATATATATATACATACATACATACATACATACATACATACACACACACAGTAAACCCTCGCTTTACGCGGTTTCACTTTACGCGTTTCCACATTTACGCGGTACCCTGCCGAACACGGAATGCTCACTTTACACGGTGTGTGTACCCTTTTACGCGGAGAGCGGCTAGCGGTCCTCTCGCGCCTCGCCATTTTTGGATTCAAACCTCCCGCCATGTTGGGTAAGCGGCGCGAGTAGGTTGCGCAGTGTATGTCTTTGTTGCGTTATCGGTGACGTCATTTGACGTATCGGACTGTGATTGGGCCAAGCATCCTTACCTCCCGACCCCGCTAGCTGTGATTGGTTTAATGTACTATGATGTGCCCCGCATCGGGAGCGTTCAAGCCCCTTGACCTACCCACGTCAGTTACACCCTTCCCGGCTACACCGTGTATATCGGTATCCATTGTTCCATAAGAATGGCTTCCA